TGATTTTGCTTCAAGCTCACATGAAAAATTTTCCTTAGAAAACCAAGTCCTTTTTCTTTGTGCAAAAAAACAGGGAGGAGTCAATTCGGTCATCGTATTTCTGTCATTGAGAGGTAACGTGAGCGTAGTAACTTCTTGTGCAAAGATGTCACGACACCTCTTTGAAGGCTAAATTACTTCAAGCCACAACCACTTGTCTAAGTGCCTTCAATATCGATGTCTAACCATCTGTCTGTCTGCCTGTCTGTCTCTCTGTCTATTTGTTTATCTGTCTCTGTTTGTCTGCCTTACCGAAGTTACTCCTTCGTTTTTTCCCTACCTTTATTTCTTCATGCTTTTTCCTCGTTGTCTTTATCATGATGCGTATCTTCTTTCGTTATGCATGTAATATTTTACTTGTGCCCTACTTACCTCAATACCAGCATGATCGTTCCGTTTCCCAGATGGACCCAGGCTTTCTTGTTGACTGCTATCAATTGGTGGATTTTTGTGTCGATTGAATTTACAATAAAGGTGTCTGGGACCCAGAGTTTGTCCGTTGCATCTCCACTCAGAATAATAGTTTTGTTAAGACCAAATCCTAAACGAGGATCACGCCAGAACTGTCCCATGTATAAGTCAACGGAAAATTCCTAATGAACACCAAAGAACTATCATAATGAATCAAACTATGGTTTAAGAAAATGTGGCTTGATGTGACATTATTTCCATGCATACCCAAATAACTTTGGACACTTAATTGAAATATATATGTAGGAGTGTGGAAACATGTAGCCCAGAGCCAGGCCTAGAGGTGATAAAGGAGCTTTGGTGAATAAGTATGAGTGTATGTAAAGATGCAAAGTCAGATTTCCAGCCAAGTGGCCCTTCCTTCAGACATACAATTGCAATCTGGCATTGCAGTACTTTTTCTCTCGTGCGCGCCATGAATGGTTTATAAACCAAGCCAGGTGCAACCTCCTCTACTTATCAGATGCAAATCGCGACTTGTTAACTTGCCTTTTACTTTCGCTTCAGCACTCCGCTAAGAAGCTAATAAAATTCATGATCATTACGATTCTTACCATATTGGTTTCACTAAGTTCTCCAAATGAAAGAATGAGTAGGTCCATGGCGACGTCGAGTGTTTTAACTAGAATGGGAAGCAATAAGCATAATGTCGGATCTTTAGAGCGTAAATGAGAAGCTGGAGAAACACAAGGGGTTTTCTTTCTTGAAAGTATGCTGTCTTATATCAATATTTTTTCACCCGACATGGATGCAATCGCTAAAAGTACCTTACTTTAACAACTGTGTAAATCATGGGCAAACTCAACTATTACCATGCAGTTCTAACAAGTCACGTAAAATGTGGTAGATATCTCAAAATAGTACCTAACTGAGAAAATAACCGAAATTAGCATTCTAATGTACTTTAAGCGGTTATCAATCACTGTCTTTCATGCCTATATTCATTTATCGATTAATTCGTTTGTATCTTTTTAAATCATGTCCCGGGTAAGACTCGTGAGCCAACCGAAAAATTGGGTGGGTGAATGGCGTCGACGATCGTGACACCAACGGATAAAAACGTTAACATTTCTATTTAAAGTTATGTGTGATATAACCATGGCTATTTCAAAGTTTTGAAGTCTCCAAAGATATGTTTAACTTAAAAGATATATGGTCCTACCATCATAAAAGGGTCTAATACGCTTGTCGTAGGTTTTGAAAACTGCTTCCAAGAGACTTGACATACTCTTTCCCGCCACTGTTTCGTTAATGTACTTATTGTTAAGCACTGGCATGTCATCTCTCCTGTCGAGGTACAAAAAGCTTTGTGATAATCAAAAGGGACAATTTAATCAAACGCTGGCCAGGAAATTAAAGGGACAACTGCGTTCGAAGTTTTTTTTTTTTTTTTATTTTTTTATTTTTTTAGAAAATTAGACGACTCATAAATACTTGAAGGTGCAAAACATACATGACTTCCACAGCATCTTCTACAGACACGTTGCCAAGAATCATACGGGTCAGGTTTGAATGTGGGTGAGTACTTCGCACAGTTTTCCTGTGAAGAAAGAGCAAAGAAAGTCTTACTTTTTTTTCCTTTCCGCTTTGATGTGAATTGATCGTTGTGGTCTTTAATGCTGTTCCACTGCTACTATCGATCATTGCATTCCTTCTGGATTTTTTAAATCAAGAGTTCTTTTATAGATGAATCACGGTCTAATATCTCACTGTGTTGCGCATGGACTGTTGATTATCGAAACCTTTTCAACCTTTGAGTTAAGATTAATTTTGATTTATTACAGGGCCTTAATGGCGACGAAGGCATCCAGCATAACGACTTGCAATAACAGTAATAATGATCGACAGCTTATTGAAACAGAAAGATGATTACAACGGGTTTACCAGTCATGGACCAAAACCGAGTGGTTTTCAAAATAGGATCGCGTTTTTGCATATAGCAAGAATGATGCAATTAATAATCACTCGAAGCAATACTGAGGGATCTTAGATCTTAAGGTGCTGAAAGTCACTTTCCTTATACCCTTCATCCGGTGTTGCATTAGAGACTGCCCTGAAGGCTTCGCTATGCATTCTAAATTTTACAAATCGAGGATTTTGCTTCATCGCATTTTTGACCTGAGGTTACGATTAAATAAATAACTAGTAACTAGTTTAGAAACTAAAATTACTCTTACTTATTTCTAAAAGGAAGGTCGGAATTGTCTGCCGGATTTGTGTCATTCTTTTCCTTGTTTCCTCCTAAAGATCTGAAAGCAACAAAGTGTATATTCATTTCTAAATCAATATAAATGTAGACAAAAGAGATGATTCGATTGGTTTTGGGGAAACTTTTACCATTATTATGACATATGTTTTGCTATATAACACTGAGATACAACTTAACCATCTCTAAATTAACAACGAGTGGCTACTTGGCTGTTTATGACCAATAGTAAATAAAAACAAATGCCAAAGCTAGCAAGAAGTAGTAGACCAGGGCAAAGACGTGTATACATCAATTTTAAATCTTATTTCACGACTTACTGCTCAGTATCAATTTACTTTAAATTGCCAAAGATGCTCTTTACTAATTTTAAAAATTTCTGTTTTGGCACGCTCTGTAGTGGGAAAATTATAGGGATAAATTTATCTATGTAAACATTTCAACTCATTGTACTTCTTTTTTTTTTATCTCAGCACATACATGATCACCTCATGCGAGTAGATTTTCAGAAAATAACACAATTTTACCTGCTCTCAGATTTGGAATTCCACAAGCAGATTTGACAAAGAATTATAAACGTTATAGTCTGATTGCATCGCATCTTCGAAGGTTGTGGTTTGATAATTTCATTGAGGTTACGACCGGACCTGAGTTCAACACAAAGGAAAAACATCATTTAAGGTTATAATGATACTAATTTACTAATTACCAGCTCATAACCGCATGAGCAGAAAACTCCTTCATGCCACAAAACTGGGTCATGTTCAACTTGTCTTTACGATACATTACAGAGTGATAGCTGATAAACGAACAACAAATAGTAAAGATACTTTGCATTTGACCAAGAAACAAAGTAAATACTGAAAAACGAGAGGAACTGAGGCGATGGCATTAAAAGTTTTGGCTCAGAGAACAGTTATGTAAATAGATACTCTTAGAACAGATGTTCAGATGTTTGCAGAAAAAGTATGCAAAATCTTCAGATTTGCACGCGAAGGTATGTTCGCGTAGGGGAGATCAGCTGAAATAAAAATACAGCAGAAAGTAAAGTTTTAAAAACAGAATCCTCGGTTCAACGTAGCTTAAACCGGAGCCACTTACACAGATGGTACAGGCTTAACGCTACTTTTAACTGAGCTACGAAGCTGTTTGCACGGCGTATTTTGATATACGAGCAGGTTCTTTGTCATCTCGAAGGAATTTTATCAGAAATGAAATTTGAAATACAGATCAACATATCTGAAGGTTAATTCTACCTCCCATATCAATACATAGAATCTAACACAAACAAGCCTTTTCACATAACGTTTTCATTAATCGGCAAAATGCGCGATACGGTCATATTTTGTCTGAGTGTACAGAGGTTACAATGCCCTCGGGCTTAGCAATGGAGCAAGCGTTTTCTTTCATTCATTTTGTCTTAACTATTATTACACTTCCACAAACTGCATCAAGTTTTGTTGAAACATCGCACTACCTTCTCAATAGAGTCCAATATTCCCATGACAAGCAGCAAAGAACAAAATGTGCTAAAACCTTTGCCGGACTTGCTGCACTGATTCTAATTAAGCTTGTCCATTCATAGGGTATTAAGCAAACGAGAGAAATTCAATAAAGTGATCGAGAAAAATTCAGTTGGTCCGAAACTTGGCTTGAACTGGTCATTTCAGACTGGTAAAGAGAACCGTAACCTTTTTCAATTTCTTTATTTTGTTCACTTGCCTTCGGGCCTTCGTTACAGTGTCCTGAACTTGAAATACTCCAAAGTAAAAATATCTTTAAGATTCCGCTTTATGTTGTTTTCAGTCACAACATATTAATTTGTCGTCAGCAACAGACAATGAAACAGACGCTTATATAAACAGCCGAATGTCTACTGACGTTACAAAATGACTGAAAACAAACACCAGTGATTCTCCTCTTTCGCTAAATATGAATTCTTTTTGTTCTTTTCTTTTTGTCTGTGGCACAGACATATACGAAACGGACTAGAAAAAAAGTGATATAATCGGCACTCGCGTTACCTAAAATGTTCTTGTAAAGGATGTGGTGCGCAAAAATTATCAAATCAAGTTTTCATAAGCAGACGATCGTCTGAGAAGTTTCTGAAAAATACTTCACGTCCCCCCCCCCCTGATTACAACAGTGGGAACAGGTACTGCTATCGAACACTCCTCTTTCAGCGGACGTTGTCGAGTGTTCACTTGAACTTTTTAGACATGTAAATCAGCGAACACGATCTTCAGTATTTGCTACTACGGTGCGAATTCGTTTAAAACAAGTTTGCTCACTGCTGGATATACTTATTCAAACCCTGAGGAATGTCTGACAGTTAAACCACTTACCAAAATTCTTAGAAGTTGCTGTTGCACTGCTCTCTTAAGGAAGATACAACCAAACACAGTATCCAAGCGGTCAATCTAATGTATCAGCTCATGTAATATATATATGACTTGAATTTATCATATTCGTCAAAATTTGGTCCAAGCGCCATAACGACACGCATGTTGTCTTATCACTCGCGCACCTTAAAGTGATCACGGTCCGAAAGCAACAATTTGACGATGACCAGTGCGTTATCGCACAGAAAATCATTGACAAACAGTGATCCTCAGTTTGACAAGATGTTCATGTCTAGCCTATGAGGATGGCTACATTCGAATTCAACATTTTAGGTGTTTTATTTATGTTACTTTTAATGATGCATTTCAACTAGAGGCACGTTTAAAGACAAATGAGTCAACACGATGAGGTCAACAAGACAACAGGCAAAGTACTTTTGGCAAAAAAACATCTCATTAAGATAACTATTGCAATCATTAACTAATCACATTTATGTTAGGTGAATGTCTTGTAATGATTACACACGCGCTGCCTTAACGAGAAGAATCGAAATCACAACAGAATTGCTGCATGTCTTTAAACTGAGCCTAAAAAAACTTCCTTTAGCGAAACTACAGAAGTTGTTTGTCTTCGCATGTACGCATGTACACTAAAACGATAAACAGTGGATTTTTAGATCCTTGCTATCAGTATTCCTCTTAAGATACTTCTTGTAAAACTATGAGCGAGATGCCGAGATAAGCCGGTTATCAATATCACGAGTGTTTTTGTCTACGACTTGATCGCAGGTGAGCAGCGACTTAACTGGAAAGTCTTCTTTACCTTGCTATCTTAGAAAATTACGAGTTCAAAATGAGCGATGAAACCTAATTATGAACTTGCGCTTCTATCTACCTTCTTATTGGAAAACAATACCAGCTTTAGCAATTCGTTTACACAAACGCAAACAGCTACAAAACCGACCATTTCACTCTAAACGAGCCCTCGTTTTTTTCTATCAGCAGCAATTTCAAAGAGAGATGCGCAGAAGAACAACGAGCCTGACTCAATCCCGCAATTCAATTAAGAAAGCAAACCACAATGCAATAGATAAATTTAAAAAAGAGGAGTGACTTAAGAAGAATTATTTAAGGTAGAAAATGCTTGCTTTTGACTCAAAATTACTTATGTACTTGTAAGTCAAAGACAGTTTCAGAGGAATAGATATAACATCGGTTCAATTGAACGACCGAAGTAAACTAAGTGAAACCATCTAGCTATTTAACGATTAGACTGAAAGCGATATTGCTGCTTGACTTGGGTGCCAGTATATAAATGAAGTATTCAAATAATTACGAGAAAGCTTAAATCTTTCCTACAAGCTTATTTAGTATAATTATTTGAACGAAAAATTGCTAGTGTTAGTGTACAAAATACGAGCCCTATAGAAGATCTTGAGGAATTCTCTTTCGGAACTCGGCTTTCGACATTATTATCAAATTAAGGGAATTCTGACCATTTCCGATGGTAATTGGCAGGAGAAATTAAGTCATGCAATGAAATGTCAGCTATAATCTTTTTTGTGGCTACGAAATTGCTTTGTAGGGCCAATCAAGTAAAAAAAAAAGTGTATCAGAAATGTGATTTTCCATTTTTTGTTTAACTTGTGTTTTAAATTGTTTCCTTTGTGGAAGAGCTGATAAACAATACAAATGATTAGCAATTTTTTTCAAATTTTCGGCTTGTTCGGCGAAAATATCATTACTCAACATCTACTAAGCTTTTTGAATCCTGATGCCTACTACATGCTCGAGCACCTTTGATAGTATGATTTATATTGAGTTCACTTTGTCGAAGACAACTGGTTCGTTAGCAAATTGATGTCAAACAAAGCCTCATCTTGTGGATCGTTGTGGCTCCAACACCTACACCATAAATCTCTGTTAAAAATCCTTTTTTAAGCTTATACATGAGAAGAAACCTTCTATCATAAGCTGATTTTTAGACGACTCCTTAGCAATTTTGATAATTCAGTTTAAAGAGATGTTCACCGTCTCCATTTCTTACTAGAAGTTATCATGCCAAAAGCTAAATCCGAGTGATTCAGTTATACTCTATATGCAAATGAAAAGTATATATTATGATTTTTTTACAGTAAAAACACAGACTATTTTCTCTTATCAATAACATAATGCGGACAAGTAAAATGCTTCGATGTCGACCATTTACGTGATTATAAAAGCGTGCTGTGATTTACAAAGTTCTCTCAGTCAAGTTTGTTAAAACCGACGGCGACAGTGTTTATCACAAGCCATGAAAACCCGATAAAATGCTTTTGAACGAAACGAATAGCATGTCTTCATTTCAGAAGGCTAGAATGTAATAATCTTACCACAAGAAGTTGCAAAACACCTCTCGAAGATAAGCTTTGCGCAAATTCTTCCCTCGGTTCGCGTGCGTTTAACCTTTCCAATAGGGCAGAAATAGAAACTACATTTTTTGCCCTCGGCAAATTGTTCCGAAATTAAGTTATAAATTGTGTTTACACGTGATTAATTAGATTAGCCTTAATTACAGGGAGAGTGATTTGATTAAATCGTCTGTAAAAAGAGAGATTAGCGAAATAATTATGATCAATCTCAGTCTGATCTACTTTCGTACGGTAGACACCATAGGTTTAATATGAAGGAAAACAATTAACAGTTAACTGGAAAAGCAGGGCTTGTGAGATAAAACGAAGAGATAACAGCATTCTTTGATTTATTGTGCTGCCTCTTAAAAAAATACTTGATCCGTGAAATATCGTTTCCGAAGTTTCAACAATTGTTTGTTAGAAGAATCTAAGATTAATGAACTTGACACTTTCGCTGATGTTTGGACAGCAATCTATCAAAGATTCCTACATCACGAGAATTTATCTTAACGGCTTCGGAATTTTCAGTTGCAGTTTCACAGCCAAGTTAGGTATCCAGAAATGAATCCACATAAAGTTTAAACTTTTTCCATTCTAATTTAGCTCAAGGCAATAATAATAAATACGTCATATTCAAGGTGCGATCTTGCTTTTGAAACGCGATGCACTTGTATTGTTTTGGAAAAAGGCCATAATATTTTCAAAGACACCGCACAGAACAGTTATGATCACAATTTTTACGAGATATATTTGCTACAAACATAAATGAAGGAGATTGTTAGAAACGAACAGATATAATAAATAGTCTGGGGTAATAGAAATGGGTGTTTAGGGGCTGTATATTTTCAATAACGATAACAGTTCTTCTTGGGTCAAATCCGTCACAACCTTCTCGAACTTGACAAGCGATAATATTTGTCGTCACGTCCAACTGACTAATTTGCATCCACGGAAATTTCAATAAGATATATCTCCTTACCACGATAAAAAGAGGTTTTTAGTATCAGCTCAGGTTTTGAAATATTTATCAATGTTTCGAAAAAACAATTAATTTCAAACTTGCCGCGACCAGTTTGAGATATTTAGAGTCTTTTTCACTATAGTGCCTCCTTCTTTTTATAGAGCAGAAAAAAAATTCGAGAACGACTTCGATGAGTTGTTGAGATTTCTTTCCCAACCTGCTGTCTTTTACATGTCAAAGCTCAAAGAGATTTATATTGCATCAAAATTTTTTAAACTCTCCTAGCTGAAAGACTTAATTTCCTCAAAGCCCTTTCTATAACTGATTTTTCTTGTCCATCAGGACGTTGACAGGTAGTGAGGACAGATGGGACGAGATAAAGTAGTTATGGTGTGTTCATTAAGCTTTGGTTGCTCGTTGGAATAATATAACCTGAAAGTAATAGCTTTCTTTCTTAAAATCCTTTACGTATATGAGAAACGTTAAGTATATACATCATAAGAGTTGCATCAACTTGACTGTTTGAATAGCGTGCCTCCAGTGTCCGTCTCAGTATAAGGTTACCTGCTGCAAGTTCTGTTCGTGCATTGACAAACAGAATATTCCAACTCACAGAGTCTTTCGAGTTATGAGCGCACAGGGGGTAAATACCATGAAAGAAAACATTTAGATGAAAATATGGAACACTATAGGTAGTAGAGTAATATATTTTTGTACGTCGACATAATATTGACCAAGGATGAATATTGTGACGCCTACCGAATCAAAAGCGTTTAAAAAATTGTTCCTTTTTAGAAAGTTAACAGTTTCATTCTAGAGAAAGCAATCGAATTTTAGTTTTCGTTTTTCCCTAAAAGTGTATGGTTTTAAACTTTTCAACAACATAAAGTTTCTTAGAAGTAATGAATGAGATTTTTTTACCCAAAAATATGATTTGGTCCTATTATCGTCGGCATAGGAGGCCTTAAGCCTTAATGTGTACAACCCTCAAGTAGCGGGAAATAGATTATCTCTTTTTCACCCACATATCGATTAACCCTGACAAATTTCCTCATCAAAATTCACAATATACGATAGAGATAGCTGTGCTCTGGTTCTATTCAATATTGCCGTTGCCTTCAATCGAACTGTGATGAATTGGGTGATACATTTGAGGGTGATACATTTGAAGGTGATACATTTGAAGCGCAGTCATCACTTATAGATAGGTGATGAAGAAAGCTCTTAACTTTAACGGTGGATTTAAGAAGTAAAAAATTTACGACGACGCAAGGCTTTTTAAACACAATGGCTGAATGGTTCACATGGTAAGCCACAATGGAGGAATTACATGGAAAAGACAAATAAACAGATATAAAAATATCTATAAACATCAAATAGCTTGCGTTAGGAAATATGTAGAGGACAATGTTAGTTATGACAAGATAACGAAGCACTAGAAATTCTTGAGGCCGTATGATGAATAACTCAGTGAGACCTCTATATCATCAATCAACTGTATCAAAACAAACCAAGATACTAATGCAAGTGAGAAGAATACTGACGTTTTCATTAACGATCAAACAAAACAGTCATTTGTTGCCTCCTGTTCAAAAATGTACTAAACAGAGTTTAGATTTTTTTATTTTCTTTCCGGTTCGCAAGTGATTAAAATTCTGTCGAGAGAGAAATTAAAAAAATTGTCAGGAAGCTATTTTTTTTTTTCAAAAAAAGAACTCTCGCATAGCATTGTTCGGCTTTCTCTGAACGTGTTTCGGTGGACACTTAACGACACCCCCTACTGAGCCTACAAATAAAAAGATAAACAAAAAAGAGTTTGTTGATGTGTCCCTTCTTTGTTTATTACAACTAGTTAACCGAGATTGAGCGACGATATTTATCATTTTCAAATAGCGTTCAGTGGTTTCAATCATAATGTATTTTTTCGCATCGGTAGTTTGGTGATATTGTTTACTGATTTCTTTTTTACATCCCAAGAGGCATGTCTAAGTCTCCATGCGCTAAGGTTTTAGGTTTTAGATGCCGGTTCTTGTTGAACACTTTCAACAAAAGCTAGTTAAATGCTACTCACTCTAGCAATATTTCTCTCAAATGGCGTGCTTTGATTCAAGGACGTAATTTGCCATAAACTTTCCGAACACCTCAGGTTGCCATTACCATATCAAAACTGTGATTTAACATGTCCTTTCGCGTGAAAATTTCGAATAAGCACCGAATTCCAAGTTTGTTTTGAGAGAACTAGAGTTAAACAGCTGGAGAAATGCATTGTGTGCGTTTCACTGTTTACAACTAATCCGGCGGTTGGTCCAGCATGTTTACAACAATGGCCAAGTTTCTATCGAAACGCTCTGCACAGAATATGTTAAGGAAATCGTTAATGATTCCACTCACCTTTTTAATATACGTTATTATTTTAAGAAAGCGATTTAATTAGAGATTAGAAGGTAAAACAGCTTAGTGTTCAAAGTAAAACGAAATTATGAACCGAAACTCTAAATGCACACAAAACTGAATGAATCATGGCAACGGTCTATTTTGCTGATCAACCTTTCGTCGAAATCATTTTTGCAGGATAACAGTTTAAACAGTCGGCAGATTCTCTAGAAGAAGTGATTAATTGTATTGAATCGACCAGTTCCTAAAATTCTAAAAATATTTATATCTCACATTATAAAATTTGTGCAAACGTAATCAGGAAAGCTACATTTAGGTTAATGGTAACTCTTGATCTGAAGTGTCAAGTCAACACTGTTGCTTCCAAAATTCCAGCGATTTCTAAGTCTAAGCCGCCATGCTTTTTCCTTATCTGGTACTCACTCATAGTATTAATTTTCAAGTCTAAAACCTCTGTTTTTAACCCAAAATTGTGCATTTCTCTTAAATATTTTATGTGTACTTCTATTACCGGTAATTGTAACGCAGACTTCCTTACCCGTTCTACAAGACTGTGAGGCGTCTATGCTGCGCCTGCCATGTCATGTAAAGTCGCTCGAAGGTCAAAGAAAATTGCTTAGCGGTTACCAACTGAACAATGAGGGTTTGTTTCTGAAGACAGATAGAGTCTCCTCTGATCAAGATTTCAAGATTGCTTACTTATCAACTGTTTTCCAGACGTTTAATGTCTTCATTCTTTTGAGCTGACCGCGTACATTACAGGCCCACTGAGCCTCAATTTGCATTCATAAACAATGCAGTATTAATGGTAGTTTGTATGTCTGGTTTCAAATGTTAGCGATCCAAAAGAACAACAAGGTGGACAGATCACTCATCACGCTAGTAGTGTTGTACCTTTTCACCTAAAAGTCTGTTTAATGGCGATCTGCTCCAGGCTGAGTTCGTGTAAAAGTAGTCGAGCACAATAGAAAAATAGCAATCTTATTGGGTATACCTGTTCTTCGGTGCTTGAGTGCCAGTTAACTTTAAGAAGTTTCCAGAGATAATGGTATAATTGTTTTCGTTACCTTCAAGTTCGCTGAAAACTTGATCCCTGAATGGCAGAGGAACAACAAAAGTGGGTTGAACTTCTCTGAATGACTCGAACAAGTAAAAGTGACTAAGACCGCGAGCAACACAAAGGAGTATATACTCTCCAGGGAGGGAAACTAAGTCGACAAAGAACAAAGAATTCAAGACATGTTTGATGGTTCAACTCTATCAGCAACATGCTGCGCTCAAACGCAAAATTTGACGGTGATTTTGCAAAATAATTTTTACATAGAGACACCCGGATACTCCCCCTGAATATAAAACCAACTTTTCGATTATAAAAGTAAGTTGGAGCAGTTTTCGTGACAAGAAGTTTTAAAGCTGGGCAATTAAAAACAGATTGATCAAACTTTTTAATTTGATTTAATTTTTGTTCAATGAAAGAAAGTAGAATTTTATCGGCTTGTTTATGTCATACGTTAACAAAATCCTCTGAGACTGATCCCGCTGCCGTTTTAGGGGATTGCACGGTTTGAACGCGACTTGCGTAATTCATGTGGTCTGCATAGCGAAAAAAATAGTGAAAAGATGGATGCGATATTAAAAATCAGTAGGATAACTGAAACAGGCATTGTAATGTTTATACCAAGTCGCTACTAATTAAACAAAGCTTTGTTACTCTGTGCCGATAAACTAAACATTACAATAAAGGAATGACAAAACTTTCAATTTCATCATCGTGACAATCACCATACTGTTTTCTCCTAATCTTGAAACGCCACCTTCTCTGGTAATGAAAACTTTTGGAGTGTTATCCTTTTGTGACAATTTATGATGGCAATAGATTTTCTGTTAACGTGGCTGTACCTAAGTATACATAGTAAAACACAACAGATATAATAAACAGCTGACAATCTACAGCACTTCAGTTGCAATGATTCTGTTTTCAGAAACTGTTTTCAAAACAGCCATTGATGCTGGCCTTACTAGCTTCAATACGCGGTATAACAGAAAGTACATTAATTTCGTGATACAAACAAAATTTCTGTCAAAGGAAAAAGGCATCAACTCTGCTATCGGAGGGTAACTGGCTTTACTACATCCATTAACCCGCAATTGCACGTGTACAGAATGTGACCAGGAGTAAGTTACGAATCAGTGATGGATTTAGTCAGACTTCGTCAGGTTGTGGGCTTCTAAACTTCTTTAAAATTAGATAGAACTGAAAATTAATTTTTTTCTTGCCAACCGTAAGTACAACTTACAAAGTAAATGCTTGTGATTGAGTTTATTTTGAGATCACGTGAGGATTTGGTTTTCGTTTAAGTAAGGCGAACATTTCCTAGCTGACGACTAATTGTCTTATCTACCATTATGAATTATACATTCAACTTTGGGATTGGAAGCTGCACCAATGACTGCAACTAGTGTTAAAGGGATAATAAGATAGGTACGACTCAAAATTATTTTAGACGATGTTCTGCTATCAATTTTTTCAAGGAAAATGTAGAGCATTGTGCAGAATGAATAAGTGAAGTGAATCAGCGCACGAATTAATGATTGAACGGAAGAACGAATAAGTGCACGGATGGAATCATGAAAAAATGAACCAATGAATAAGTTAATTTTCAAAACAATTTAAATATTTCAGGTGTGTGCAACGTATAATATTCTAAAATATCTTTATATACTAAGAGCATTTTGCAGAATAAATAAGTGAAGTGAATCAGCGCACGAATTAATGATTGAACGAAAGAACGATTAAGTGGACAGATGGAATCATGAAAAAATGAACAAATCAATAAATTAATTTTTAAAACAATTTAAATATTTCAGGTGTGTGCAACGTATAATATTCTAAAATATCTTTATATACTAAGGATTTTTAGAAGAAGTTAAAAAAAAAACGTAACGGTGAAAGTGGATGGGAATGAGTTGTGGCTGATGTCGAAGCCAAAAATAACCCCTAATAAACTGCACGAGGGGAAGACTCAGTTTTTAAGTATGCCTTGAATATTTTCCATCTACATCAAAACTTTTAGCTACATATCAACACTGCCAAATAATGATTCATTCCAAATCTTATGGCTCTTGAAAGTGGTTCTGTGTTCCAGGTAATAACATCCTTGAAATATCTTAAAAGCTTGAAAGAAAATAATCGATTATTACTTCACCGAGCACATTCTACTGACTTTGATTCCAAGCTGGATTGAAACACTTCATAGCAATCATAAAGGGAAATTATCTGTGATTGGAACGAAGTGTGCATTCTTTACTGACTTTCAAAGCCAAGGAGTTAATTCAATCAGCATTCACAATAACAAATCACATACCTTTTGTTAACTCCTTTTAGACCGTCACCATGAAGTAAAAGCAATTGTCTGTGTTAATATTTCCCAAATTAGAATAACAATGAGTAAAGATTTCTTTAAGGATCAACTCAATAAAGTTGATTTAATCTTGCTGATTCTTTAAGTCTATTTTATAGCGCATTTTGAAAAGTACTTTGTTTTAATTTAAGGTAGAAGATGACAGACTACACAACACAGAAGCTTAGAAAACTAAGATTCAACCGCAAATTTCCTTTAGTAAAAAACCGCATACAAAAACACTTAAAGAGTTAAAAGATTACGGAATATAGCCGCGAATCTGCGTTTAACTCGAGGCTGTAAAAAAAAAATATGTATATATATATTCGAGTGTAAACTAAAACCCGAAATGTAATCATTCGAACGCATGCAAATCCATTAAAACCAGGAACATCTTAGAAAGGCTTGTGTATGAAAAATTTTAAAATGCAAAATGAAAGAATACGAGAACTAAGATCAAACATAAACTGGAAGTTAGCGAACCAATCAGTATTTGTATTCAGTGTAAACTTTACCGGGTTATCATCGACAGGAAATTTAACCAACCTATTTAGCTATTTTTGAAAAGGGGATTACTTGACAAGATCTGAGGCAATTTAACCTAGAGCACTAATTAAAATTAAAGTACCTTTGGATTTTCGATTTCCCTTTGCAGTCTACCGACTTCAGTGAAAATAACTTGACAAATATCGTCAAAATATAGAAATTTGTTTTTTGTGGTCAACGGTGAATAATGAAGTCGTTAATACATTTTTACACTTTTGCTTGGTGTCGTGGTCACAGAGGAAGTTCTATAAACAATAATGTACATAATTTAGAAGAAAAAAGAAAAACGTTGTGGGAGATTAATTATCAAGAGCGTTGCTATGGTACTTCCTGCTAGTCAGGTATAAGCATGACCTCGTACATCAAAACATAATTTGGTTTGTTTGTTGTTTTGGCCCTAATGAGATTTTTGAAAATGAAAGCACTGCAACCTTTTCTCGTTAAACTCCCACTCAATCCAAAAAAGGAAGAGGCAAACAATAAAAATGACAGCGGAAACCTCTGTGGGAAAGCGGCTTTGGAATTAACATGTAGTTCTCTGTATTTGATCAAGTACAGTGAATTAAATGGCTCTACTTTTCCTCTGTATTTGAAATTACTTTCGCCTTCAATGGCTCTAGAATCGCAAACTTATTCTTGACTTCGAAAATGCCTCAGTTGACTCTTTTTGAGTCCATGAAACTGTTACTCAACTGAGGGGCATGACAAGAGAAAGTTTTACTTTACCCTTTAATTCCAAAGATCCAATGAAATATTCTCCCAAGTGACTTCCATACGTTTCCTTGTTAATTGGTTAATTTTATTCAAATCAAGATAACATCCTCTAACTAGCTGATGAGCTTCGCTGTTCTCGTAACCTGTTTGTAAGATAATGTATTGGAATCGCAACGAGAAATTACAGGTTAATCACCTTTGGAAGTTAAGGAAATAGAGAAGCCCTCCTTTCTTATTGTTTCGTCCAAGACTTCATAATTAAGACAACAATTGACAAAGGTAGTTTTCAGTTGTGGCGGCCGATTCTGAATTCGGCAAACTTTAACGCACAGAACAACTTTTTCCCAAGCAATGAACAATTAATAATATAACGTAACACAGTACGCATCATTTGATTGGTCAATCTACCTAAACTCTTGGATGAGTGACGAAAGCGCCAAATGAGTTCGTCTATGCGCCAAAGAGAGACATTTTCTCTACCTGCACTTTTTAAATATTTGATAAAAGAAACTGTTATCTTGCTTAGGCGATAAGTGAAGTTGCACACCTGCAGTTGCCTAATCTTATTTTTTCCCGATGGATCCGAGTTTTAAAACAATCAAACCTTCATTAAAGCTGCTATTTATAGTTTGAATGAACTGGAAACGAAGATGCCTTTTCCTTTGAAACAAGAGTGCATATCGTTAGCATAAGCATAAACATAAACACAAGTCTTACTATTTATATAAACAAAAGCCAATATTTTGGCGCAAGTTTGTCTGCGTATATTATCTGTTCCGAGATGCGAACAGTTTTCCAAGGGCGAAGGTCGAGGAAAACTGTGAGCCTCGAGGGAAAACGCGCGAACAGCTTACCGTATACTATGTAGGGTGTTCACTTTTCAGTGTTCTCTGGTACGACTTTGAACCAAAAACGTTTCCCTTCTAAACAAAATAGCTAAAGGCTCTCTCATCCTGAGTATTATTTTAAAGAGCACTTTTATCGTAGTAGAAAAAAGGTTAGAAAATTGGGGAATATCACTTACTTGTGGTATATGACTGGATATACTAAATGCGCCAAATCGTAAAATCTTCTCTTGGGAAAGCGAAGTACATATTATTTTGTGGAGTAATGACGACGTTTTGGAGACGAGATGGCACCATCATCAATTTTTTTTCCAATTATTATGTTTTTTATAATAATGACATGCCACCGAAACGTCATGTTTTTACATAACTAATATACTTAACTTGAGAAGTAAATGCACGAAATAAACCTTAAACATGTTAAATTTAGCTCTGTCTTTACGTTCATTAAATTCGACAAACGTGGAAAACAGGTGTTGCAATTTTCATATCATATTTATGATTGTGTGTATTTGCAGAGCATGAAACAGACGGAGTAGGGATCCATTCCAAACACAAACCTGAGTCATCACAATAACTAATGATTAATACCTTTTAGCTTTGATCCTCTTTCCATAACTTAACGGCCTCTAAGGTGTTTACCTACTTCCCGATTTAAAAATGGATCTTATTTTGCATCAGACCAGCTCAGCATCAATTGACTTGACGTATGTTTGTCTGGCGTATCTCACAAAAATGTCTCAGGTCCACATAAATAAATAGCCGCAAAAATTCTGTATCTTTACCGAGGCGTCTCTGAAAGAATATAGAACTTTTTTTGTCTCCACATGAAAGGTTTCACAGTTTTCTTTCTTTACATTTAGTTAACAGCTGGTCATATTTCTGAGTTTTAGATCAAATCAATTTTTCTGGCATTATTTTCGTGGTTCTAATTTGCAACCAGGAGAAACTGTGTACTTTCATTGTACACCATAAACAGAATGACAGGCTTCCCTCTAGCTATCTTTCTGCAATACGTGTTAAGAGCGAATCCATGCAAAGATCGACCAAAATCGTCAATTCGTGGCAAGGCTCAAAAAATGAAAATCGCTCTTG